GTCCAGAGAGTTTTATTCACACAGCGCTGGAAAGAGAAGCTGACCAGGGGTTACATTGGTGCCGTGAGCCGTCAATCGAGTGTTTGGACGGTGGACTCCTCTCAGCAACGTGGGCCAGTTTCAGCGCTGCACGTTTGTGATTCATTGTTGTTCTTTCTGACACATTTTTTTTTAAAAAGGAGCATATATAGCATTTTTGTTTTATTCTAGTTGTTGTGATGGACATCACAGAGGAGGGATCGAGTACTCCTAATGTTGTTGGTAGGGGTAGGGGGTTGTTATGTTCCCCTTTGCGTTTGCGTTATGACACTCCTGTTAGTGGGCGTGGTTTTGTTTGGGGGGATAGTCAGGGGATCCCAGGGCCCCAGTCCAGTGAAGGGGTTGTTGTCCCTCCCCCTAGCCATGTGTCACACACGTCTCAGAACAACAGTTCACCTTCTCCTAACCCAGATACTATTGCCACGGAGATTGTGAGTCAGATGGGGGATGTGATCCAACTGGTTGGTCAGAGAGTAGCGCAGAGTATCTTAACCCAGCTCAGCCCGTCTGCTAGTACCCCTTACCTGCACCTACGGCCACACCTTTCCATGCTGTGTCATCTACATCTGCTGTTGATGCTGCGCCGGTGCAATTTGTGTCCCACAGGAAGCTTAAGGACCCACCATGCTTTAGAGGGGATGGTTCTGATCTCATTTCTGTGAGAGAGTGGGAGGATCTGATGAGAGCCTTTATAAAGCTGGGGAGTCTGAGACCCGAAGAACAGGCTGAGGAGATTCTTGTTCATTTGAGAGGCAAGGTTAAGGATGTGGTCCAGGTTGGCATTAGAAACAGTGTCGTAGATGTCACACGTGATCCTGAGGCTATTTTTGGAATCCTGAGGAGACACTTTGACTCTGCTCAGTGCTCACCTCTTCCACTGGCAGACTTCTACACCACTCTCCCAGAGAAAGGCGAAAGTGCATTCGATTACTGGCTTAGGCTGCACCGTGCTGTTGATCTTGCTGTTGAGCGCCTGAAGGAACGAGGACAGGCATTGGGTAGCCCCAGCACTGAGGTCACCCGAATGTTCATCAAAAACTGTCCCTCCCCTGAGCTTGCCATGATCTTTAGATCAAAGACAATTGATAAATGGACAGCCAATGAGGTCCAGGAAATCCTGTGTGAGTCCCACTCTGGAGGAACGTTGAACTCAAGCAGCACGACGGCCGAGAGAGTTGCAGTGAATACGCAGCAGATATCAACAGCGTTGCCTGTCCAGCCAACAGAGAAGCACATTCAGCCACAGTCGACAGATTCAGCTGCTTTGGAGCGGCTCATAGGCATGCTTGAGAAGGTTCTTCTGCAAAGATCCTTTCAGCCTGGTTTGACCACACGGCCTAACTCCAGACGTTCCAGGATTGAGGGCCTACATGATAAGCCCTGCTCCGTTTGTCATGATATGTCGCACACAGCTTTCATGCACTGCCGAGATCACAAACTCTGTTTTCTGTGCCACTCACCTGACCACACCAGGCGTGCCTGTCCTGGATCCTCGTCGTCTTCTGCCCCTCGACGGTCGGAAAACTAGTTGATCCACATTTGAGGGAGGAAAGTGTGGATCATCTGAGTGACTCTCCCACTTGCGACAGCGATGACCTGGGATCCATGTATGAATCTCTGTGCTCCACTTCGCCACCTGGTACGACAGTTGTCTTCCAAATGACGCAAAGAATTAAGAAATCTGACAGTTTGTTTTATACGACTGTGGGACTGTGGGCGGAGTTTCACTGAGAGCCATGATCGACAGTGGCTCTATGTCGTGCTCTATTAGTGAGGCTACTGCTACGCGGCTTTTACAGTCCTGCCCTGATCTGAAGCTCGAACCAGCTAATGACATTGTTGTTGTTGGTGCTGGGGGCCACCAGTTCCAACCTAAAGCAGTTTGTGATTTGGAAGTGACTCTTTATGGTTTCAAGCTGCTCATCCCCACGCTGGTTATTCCAGGCCAAAGTGACGACATGATTATTGGCAGTAACGCTATTAAGTCGTTGATTCATGTAATGAAGAATACGGATGAGTATTGGAGGCTTGTATCTATTTCAGGTGATGTCACCAATGATGACTGTAGACAGTTTTTATCCATGCTTTCCAATGTTGAGCGTTGGCGAGGAGGGGCGGTGCCTGATAAGATTGGCACAGTGAAGTTGAGACAGCGTGTTACGCTGGAACCCCTTCAGGAACACCTTGTGTGGGGTAAATTACCTCCCTCTTCACCTCTATCAGCAGGCTGCACTGTTATTGTTGAGCCTACACAGTCACGGTGTAGACCCAGAGACATCCTGGTTGGCCGCTCCGTCTCATCATTGTGGGGTGACAAATGGGTTCCTCTCAAGGTGATTAACCCCAGCAACAAGCGTGTGATTCTGAGGAAGAACTGTAAAATCGCTGATGTCTACCTCTGTGTCGCAGTTGAAGAGCTGTCTCCCCCTGAAAAGATCATGTCTAACAGCCACTCTTTTGAACAGGGTTCTGTTCCCATAAGGTCTGTTGAACAAAGGAAGGAACTCTTGCACAGACTAGGACTACAAGACTTGGACTTAGACAGTTGTGAGGTGTCTGACAGATGGAAAGATCAGCTTCTGCAGCTTGTGGAAAAGTATGAGTCTATCTTTTCTAAGGATAAAATGGACTGTGGAGAAGCTACCGATTTTGTCCACAAAATACACCTTGTGGATGAGAAGCCTTTTCGTTTGCCTTATCGCAGAGTACCGCCGAGTCAGTATGAGAAGCTAAGAACTGCTCTGAATGAGATGGAAGAAAGGGACATAATCCGGAAGTCGAACAGTGAGTATGCATCGCCGCTGGTCTTGGTGTGGAAGAAGGATGGCAGCCTGCGCATTTGCACTGATTTCAGATGGCTCAATGCAAAGACTGTTAAAGACGCGCACCCGCTGCCACACCAAGCCGACGCCCTGGCTGCTCTCAGTGGAAATGTTCTCTTTTCAACAATGGATTTGACCTCTGGATTTTACAATGTGCCTCTCTACGAGCCTCACAAGAAATACACAGCATTCTCCTCGCCCTTTGGTCTCCATGAGTACAACCAGATGCCTCAGGGCCTGTCGAACAGTCCGGCGACATTCATGAGAATGATGATGTCGATCTTTGGTGACGAGAATTTCAGCAGCTTGCTTTGTTACTTGGACGACTTGATGGTGTTTGCGCCTGACGAGGCAACTGCCCTTCAGCGTCTTGAGATGGTCTTCTCTCGGTTGAGGAGTCACAACCTTAAGCTGGCCCCTAAGAAATGCCATCTTCTTAAGAGGTCAGTTAGATTTCTTGGACATGTCATTTGTGCGGATGGTGTGAGAACTGATCCGGACAAGGTTAACACCATTACCAACATCAGGGAAGAACAGCTTATGGAGAGCGATGGTGTGACTCCCTCCCAGAAGAAGATCCGGTCCTTCTTAGGAATGATCCTCTATTACCAACATTTCATCCCTGATTGTTCTGCGAAGGCCAAGCCCTTGTTCAGGTTACTTTCGGGACGACAGGCAATTCCCCATGGGAGGAAAGGAAAGAAGCTCAGGAAGCAACCCTCTGCCAAACCATCTCTGACACCAAGTGACTGGACATCAGCATGTCGCACATCATTTCAAACACTCAAGATGGAACTAGTTAATGTTGTCACCCTGGCTCATCCCAACTTTAGTGAGCCTTTCATCCTGGCGGTTGATGCCTCCTTTGATGGCATCGGGGCAGTACTCTCACAGGTTTCTCCTGGCGAGACAGTGGCTCGACCTGTTGCCTTTGCCAGCAAGACATTGTCACGGTCTCAGATGAACTACCCAGCGCACAGACTAGAGTTCTTGGCGCTTAAATGGGCCGTGTGTGACAAGTTCAGCCACTGGCTGAAAGGAAGGCACTTCACTGCTTGGACAGACAATAACCCCTTGTCCTACATCTTGACAAAGCCACGTTTAGATGCTTGTGAGCAGAGATGGGTGGCGAAGCTCGCGGCATATGATTTTGATCTAAAGTATGTGCCAGGGGTTAGAAATACAGTTGCTGATGCTTTGAGCCGTGAACCATTTGTCGAGTCATGTATTGGTCATCGTTTGCTGAAAGAACCTTATGTTGCCCTGCTAGATGAGGTCAACGGGGTTGTGAGAGGTACTGTGCAGGATGCTTTTCGGCTGACTAACAACTGCCACATTGTTCAAGACACAGAGCCAGACTCACCAGACTCTGTTTCTGAGTGCGACCTTCAGAGCGAGAGGGGTTCGATCGATGCTGATGAGGTGTCAGCTGTGCTGAGTGCGCAGTGTGACCATGGTTTGACCAATGTCAACCCACCTTTATCACAGCTCCCTGAGGTGGACCCGGTCCTTCCTCTTCCCCAAAGCCAGCTCTCGAGCCTTCAGCAACAAGATCAGGCAATAAACAGAGTCCTTTTCTATGTGCGAAGAAAAAGGAAGGCTACGAGGCGAGAAGCAGCTTCAGAACCAGGTGGTGTTGGTGGACTTCTCAGGCAGTGGAAGAAGCTTAAAGTACAGAACGGCATCCTGTACAGGGTGATGAGGCATCACCGCTTGAGTAGAAAGATTTTTCAGTTTGTTGTTCCTGATAGCCTGAAGGTTCAAGTCCTCCTCAGCCTTCATGATAATGCAGGCCATCAGGGCCAGGCACGAACACTTTCCCTCGCCCGTGAGAGGTTTTTCTGGGTCGGGATGGAGAGAGACATAACCAACCATGTTCGACAGTGTGAGAGATGTGTGGTTGGAAAAACACCTGAACCTCATGCCTGTGCACCACTAGAGAACATCCAGACGTCAGAGCCGATGGAGCTAGTGTGCATAGACTTTTGGACTGCTGAGCTCAGCGATAATAAGAAAGTGGATGTCCTGGTCATAACCGATCATTTCTCCAAGATGGCACATGCCTTCCCCTGCCGAAACCAGTCTGCAAAACATGTCGCACGCAGGTTGTGGGATGATTTATTTTGTGTTTATGGCTTTCCCAAGAGGATTCATTCGGATCAGGGATCAAACTTTGAGAGCAGACTGTTGAAGGACCTCTTAGAGATGGCAGGTGTGCAGAAATCGCATACTACGCCATATCATCCTATGGGCAATGGGGTCACTGAACGGTTCAACAGGACACTTGGGAATATGCTGAGGACTCTCCCTTCTACAGCCAAGGCTAGGTGGCCTCAGATGTTACGCACTCTCACGTTCTGCTACAATTGCACAGTGCATGAGACGACTGGTTTGGCCCCCTTTTATGTCATGTTTGGGCGAGTCCCACGCCTCCCTGTTGACATGATGTTCCAACATGTGCTGCAAAATGATGATGTGATCAGCCACCATGAGTTTGTCTCACGGTTGCGGAAAGACCTGTTTGATGCCTCACAGATTGCCCAGAACCACGCTTTTCACGAGCAAGCGCGCCATGCCAGACTCTACAACCGCAAAGTCAAAGGCTCACCTCTGGCTGTAGGTGATAGAGTGTTGTTGGCCAATCGTGGTGAAAGGGGAAAAAGAAAGTTAGCCGACAAGTGGGATCCCACGCCTTATGATGTTGTGTCAGTTAGGTCTGGGATCAATGTGTACAGGATAAGAGAGAGCCACACAGGCAAGGAAAGAGTTGTACACAGGAACCTCCTTCTCCCTGTTAACTTCCTGGGCTTAGGTGTGGAAGGGAGTCTGGCCTCCCGTGCTGACTTGGACGGAGGGAACCCGAACAGTGGAGATGACCAAGGGTCTGTGAGGTCAACACAGATGGATCATCATGACAGGACACTGGACTGGCTGCTGAAAACGCCAGAGATACAGGGTCTCGCTAATGAGCCGGTGGAAGTTGAAGGTTCCCTCGACGTGGGACACCATTCTCTCTGCGTTGTGGACCCCAGCAGTGGCTCTATCGCAGCGGAGGACCCACCCCCTGAAGTTAATGCTGAAGTGTTTGAAAACTCCATTAGTGAATTCCCCTTGCCTGCTCCCGTGATCAGTGATGCTGCTCTCCGTCAAGGCTCTGAACCTGTTGCCGTGGCTCCTGTGGTTCCCATGGCTGATGTTGACTTAGATCTTGCTATTTGCACACAGCCTCAGACTATTCAGGCGGGCATGGATGGGCTAGCTATCACTAGGTATGGGAGAAGTGTTAGGCCTCCCAAGAGACTGATTTGTGAGATGGCAGCGCAGAAAGTTGAGGAAACTTCTTCTGTTTCAGGGTCAGTTTTTGCATTTCTGACTAGTATGTTTTAGCTCTGAGGGAATTGACTTGGTTTCATGTATCTTTCGACTTATTTTTTTGTGTGGTCCAGGATGTGATTTGGAGTATTATTTCGGGTGCTCTTATATGTGATGTTAAGGAGGTGTAGATGGCATCTTCTCTAGTCTGTTGAAGGTATTGGGCTTGGTACCACCCAATGTCTCGACACTTTTATATAAAAGGATTCTGTATCGACAATGATTAATATTATTGTATCGATTTTACCCCGAAGCACCTGCTGTTCATAGTTCTTTTGTTTCTGGCCCTTGATACTCCCTTGAACTGGTTTGGAGTTTAACAGAATTTAAGGGGGGTGTATGTAACGATGTAAAAGAATGGATATGGTTTTGTTGTTGTTAAATTCCTGTTAAACTTGGGATCGCAACCATGGGTTTATTTTGGAACTTTTATTTTGAAAATCCGCAGCGGAAGTCTGCTACTGGTAAACGGGCTACCCCCTAAGCCTATCGTTAGTAGCAATGAAGCTTTCGCTGTGGTAAGTTCCTCTCCGTCCGCTCTCACAGAGCATGAGTTTAAAACATATTTGAAAATCCTCATTGAAGCTAATATGACAGTGCACTAACTGCATGAACTGCCCATACGGTAGTATTTGAGTAGATTTCAGGTTTATGACCGTGTTTTGCAGTTAATAGATTAGACGGTAAGAAAAATGGACACGTGGAGCTAGCGGCTAACAGCTAGAGGAGGCTGTCGTGTCTAATAATTTTGAAACTTCTCTCAATAGTTTGGGCGGAATCCTGTTGCTGAAACCCATGGTTATTCATGTCCCATGTTATTGCAGGTATGTGTACTTTGAAACATGTATATGGTTGAGCTGCAGGCTAATTCTGTTTAAGACATATTGCTTATTAAGTTTGCCCAGTAGATGGCAGCATTGTTCCATTTACTATTGTACGTAAAAGGGAATTTTGGCTTTGGTTTATTTATATTTACATGAATGTGCATTTAAGTGAATTAATTTTTCTTTTGTTATCTAAACCACAACGCAGTAATGTTTCTATTTTATTTTCCGTGATAAGTATTGTTGCCATTTTATTTTTCAATCAATATTTGTTTTTATTTATTTGGGAAAACTAAGAGTTCCACTATACGATCATAAGCCTATCGTTAGTAGCAATGAAGCTTTCGCTGTGTTTGGGCGGAATCCTGTTGCTGAAACCCATGGTTATTCATGTCCCATGTTATTGCAGGGGAATAAATCACGCCTGAGCTCTACCCACTTCGAGTCCAGAGAGTTTTATTCACACAGCGCTGGAAAGAGAAGCTGACCAGGGGTTACAAAGGCACCAGAGCCGGGGGAGCGGGGTCACGAACAGAGCCCACACTCAGTGAGGCAGACGGTACGGGCGGGGGAGCAGGAACAACGGGAGCAGTAGGAGGAACTAGCCGAGCCAAAGTCTCTTGAATGGCCGACAGGGTCTCATTAACTCGGCCTGCCCATTGCTCGGATGCCGCCAACTGCCGAGACAAACTAGACAAAGACTCCTCGTGTTTCTGGAGTAAATCGCTGGACCTGTGTGTTCTGCCGAATCCATCAAAAATGGTCGGAGTATTCTGTTAGGTTAGCTGGATTACACAGATGGATTACGTGGCAGAAACACACACGGACGCAGAATGGTTGGTGATGCAAGTTTTATATATACACAAGTAAGGGGGAATATTTACAAGGGAAAGGGGCTATATACAGTGATAAATAAAAATGTGCCAGCAGGAAAACACCGAGGCGATGAGATGGAGCCGAAGCATACAGGTAGGTAGCAGACGCACCGGAGCTACCTGACAACAGGGAACAAAACAGGGTTTATGGCATACCGTTGATAGCCGAACGTTAAACACAAGTGGACGGAGAGAGTTGGAGAGCTTACTTGACCACCCAAACCACAGCCGCTGCGGTGATCGCCGCCTGATGGTACGTAGCACTCCGTCGCGGATCCAGAATAGCCAACACAAAATCCTAGGTAGGCGGGCAGGCGATGGAACAGGCTAAGACAAAGAAAAGTAGGCGAAACGTGGATCCTTTAAAACATACAGCTCCACAGCGTAAAATCAACAGATGCAGCCTGTGCTAACTCGTTACCACTTGTGACAGCGATAATACTCCGACACCAGACGTCCGTGACTCTGCTCCCTAAAAGCGCTCACTGATGACGTCCGATGCGTCGCAGGTGTGTTGGAATGCCATCAAGCCCCGCCTCGCCTACCTATAACCAAAAGGAAAACAAAACCCAAACAACAACAGTACACCTACCCACCACCTCCTAACAGTCTGACTGTTCAGACTGCTTCCATCAGGAAGGAGGTTCTGCAGCATCCGGTCCCGTACCAGCAGACTGAGAGACAGCTTTTTCCATCAGGCCATCAGACTGCTGAACACGTCATAGACACCTCAGCTTCACTACTGGAACTTCAACATTATGCACTCCACACTGTATATAAATGCCACTTGTTTTGCACATATTCAACTCTGTATATTTTATATATTTTATTATTATTTTATTTTTTTACTATTTAATTTGTAAAAATGTGTATACACACACACACACACACGTAGGAAAATATTTAGTATACACATCCAGAAATGCATACACTATTATATATTGTACATATATTTATTAGTTTCAGGTTGGCCATTCTTGTATTTTGCTCGTTTGTGTTGTTGTGTTTGCACATCTCTGTTGCTTGTGGGGCTCGCACACAAGAATTTCACTCGCATGTGCTGTGCCAGTGTGCCTGCACATGTGATGTGACAATAAAAAAGTGATTTGATTTGATTTGATTTGACTGTGCATGTTTTTTCCCCTAAATTTGCTTGGGCTATAATAAGTCATGCCATTCAGACGTCTGATTTCCATCATATTGCTGCAAAAACATAGTTACCGTTTTCCATAAAAAACAGCACATGACTCATCTGCTTGATTGACAGAGATGGAGATTTTTGGAAACTTTATTGGCCGAAATACATTCACAGGCCACTTCATTAGGTACACCTTGCTAGTGCTGGGTCGCATTCCCTTTTGCCTTCAGAACTGCCTTATTTCTTCGTGGCATAGATTAACCAGGTGCTGAAAAGATTGCTCAGAGATTCTGGTGCATGTTGGTATGATAGCATCATTCAGTTGCAGCAGATTAGTCAGCTGCACATCCATGATCTCCCGTTCCACCACATCCCAAAAGTGCTTTATTGGCTTGAGTGACTATGGAGGCCAAATTTTGATGTGCAAGGAACCAGCCTAAGATGATTTGAACTTTGTGGCATGAGCAGCTATCAGAAGATGAATACACTGTGGTCATAAAGGAATGGACATTGTGAGCAACAATAGTCAGGGAGGCTGTGGCATCTAAACCAGGCTCAGCTGGTACTAATGTCCCCACACACCCACATCATCAGACCACCAGCCTTAACCACTGATACGAGGAAGGACTGACCCATGCTTTTAGTTACTGTTGCCATCCTGTCAGGTCAAAGCTGTCTAGACATTCTCATCTGACTTCTGACATAAACAATCGAGTTTCAAACTGTGAAATGCCACTTACTGGATATTTTGTCTTTTTCAGACCATTCTCTTTAAACTGTAGAGATGGTTCTTTGGAAAAATCCCAGTAAATAGTCAGACTAGTCTATAAGGCACCAACAAGCATACCATGTTATGGGCTGATTAGATATTTGTGTTAACAGACAGTTGAATAGGTGTACCTAAAAATGATATTACTACTAACATAATACCAATAAAAGTACATTTCACATGTTTCTATTGGGGTCTTTTTTGTTTTGTTCTTTAACACCAGCTCTTTTTGACTCATTCAGAAATTCAAACCATGCATGTAATGACTTTGCAGAAATCAGTCTCTGAGAACGTATACTCCTCCCCCCCCCCCCCCCCTGTAAAACATCACAAAAGCTCCCAGTTACCCAACACCAAAGATTTCCGTGTGGCCAATCTGGATCTTTCTGGTTCTGTTCCTTACCCTGGACTGAATTACTAGCCTGTCTTTCGGCCAGCACCTCCCTTACCAGTCTAGCGTAGAGAGTGTGTGGGTTGGGATGGATTAATGATGTCAGGCTAGCAGTTTTGTCACAGCCACTCCCAGTCTGCGTATAAAGCCACTAATCACCAATCTACCTTCGCAGACAACTTCGAGTTCATACTAAATATTATTGTTGTGAGTTGTAGGTCTAGTGACTAATACTTTCCATCGACATCTTAGTCATTCAGCCACTACAATGAGAAGGAGTGGCTTTCTGCTGACACACATTCCCACACATTGTTTCATCCAGTCATTTTCAACTGTTGTGTGTGTTCCTCAAATTTCAGATGTGTCGGGATGGGCCTCAGTGACTAATTAATAACAAAAGTAAAGTAAGCTTCAGTTCAAATTAAAAGAGTTAGGTCATTAGAAAATTAATTAGAAACAGAAAACAACATAGTTTTATGACACATTGGCACATCATCTGGGTTGTGAACACTCATAGTTGTAATGTTTTGTGACCTCTGTGACATATAGCACTCTGTCAGTATAAAGCTGGATCCAAAGCTGAAAACAGAAGTGCCTGGAGCTGGAATGTTGAAAGATGTAACACTGACATACACCAACGGATGCATCTCTTCATGCATTCAAAAGATGCCCTTGATCTCGTTTCAAATTTATAATTTGTTTCCATGGAGGCAGACTTTTGTGTAATTATTTCTAAGTTGTCCTGCGCAATTGGCTAAAGACTAAGACTAAGCTTCAGGTCTTTATAAAGTTTTTCGTTAGACATTGGCTGCTTTTTTATTTACCCATTTTCAGTCCAATCCTTTTATCTGATCATTTTCAGAGGAATGTTTTTTTTGTTATTTGCGAAACCACTAAACACAGGCTTACAAATCATTCGAGCATGAAAAACAGCACCTAACCTAACACTAGTTCATCCCTAATCAAGGGATGAACTAGTGTTGTGTCTACACATTGCTTAGTATAAAAACTTTTTACAGTTTTTCCACCAACAAGGTAATTTTCCAAGAAATATTAAATGAAAACTTGGAATATCTTGGGATAACATGCAGTATGCGTGTCCTTAAACTGTACAAGTAGAGAACAAATATCACACTACAGGACCAAAACTCAGATAAACAGTATCTGAAACAGTCTGAAAGTAATGGGGAAAAAAATCTACAAATACCTGACACATGACAGTAGAGGTGCATCTGGGCATTCAGTTGATCCACCTCCTTTTCACTAAAGCCTTAGAAAAAGCCGTGTTAGGGAGTGATTAATCCAAAGCTTTGGTTCAAATTTCTGAAATTTATGTTTCAAACTGTCATCAAAAGATAAGAAGAAAGGTGCAATAGTATCGACAGCCATCTATAAACCAGAGTGGTGGATTTTTATGGTTTGGATCTGCATTTCAGCTGGTGGTGTTGGGGATCTTGTCCAATTTGATGGAATTACAAATTCAGAAGTACAGTGATATTTTGATCCGCCATGCAATATCATATGGAAGGCGTCATTAGCAACTACTTCCTTTCCAGCATGACAATGATACCAAACACACTGCCAACGCAGTAAAAGCATACCTGGATCAAAAAACACACAGTGGAGCATTGCCAGTCATCAACTGGCCTCCCCACAGTCCAGACCGCAACATTATTAAAGCAGTGCAGGATCATCTTGACACAGAATTGAAAAAAGAGCGGTCAACATCCAAAGAAGAGCTTTGAATGACCTTCAAGAACCCTGGAGAACTATTCCTGAGGAATACTTAAAGAAATTACAAGAAAGCTTCCCTGAGAGAGTTCAGGCTGCGTTAAAGAACAAATGCGGTCATACCAAATATTGACTGCCAATCTTGTTTTTGTTTTCTGTGATTTATTTTTCATGTGTGATAGCGAATGTTTCAATAACTGCACCTATTTCCCATTTTCCCAGCAAAACATAAAGACTTTTGCATAGTACTGTACATAGAAAAAAAAACAGTTGACTATAGGTGATGTGACAGTCAGTTGAGTGTGGCCCTAATGGCACCTAACAGCTTGGTGTTTTCAGCACACTAAAGTGTGTGAACATGAGCTTTAAAACAGAAATGTCAGCACAGTGTGGCAAGCGATGAGTCATTAGTGCTGACCAACAGCCAAATTAAGACACATTACAGTACACTCTGGTCATTTTATGTTATATGGCAGCAAAAATAATGCACTCCACCTTCAAGCTATTTTGTGTGTTCTTCTGTCAAGGAAAACTACTGCCTAATGCTCTAGTGTTTTCATGTTCTGCTGTGACGCTCTCACCGGTTTAGCTTTCTTATTGAGTGAGCTGTGCGTGCGTGTGTGTGCACACTATGGGGAGTCAGCATGCAGGCTCATTTCACGTGGTTCGAAAG